GCAGAGAAAATTCTTAGGCGCATCCTTTTGCAAGTCCATATTCATGCATACGGACACTTTGGGATAGCAGCACCCCAAAAAAATGTAAACAAACTTGCAAAGATCAACAGGAACTGGCGATATCTTTGGGCTGCTCCAGAGCAAAGTCTGCCCCCCCCCAACAATAAATATCCAAAATATCCAGCAGTGTAGAAATGTAGGACCAGCCGACTCACCAAAACAAAGGCATTGTGTGGAAGCTGTGAGACGTATTCCTCCACTCCCACCGGTCAGCCAGAGCGAGACATATTTTGCCTGCATTTCAGCAACATGCACATATATGGAGAGCACCCTCGGATAACCAACATTTAACAGCTGGATAATATTTTTGCACAGCCGAAACTCCTCCATCAAGCAGATTTCTCCCTCCCCTTCCTGAAATACCGAGTGATTTTTGCATTTTTAAAAATTCATCGCCAGTCGGCGGCACATTCGGGAGGTTGGCAGAGGCTGCCGAGACGTTTTAAAAAGAAAAATATTCCGAAATAAGAAATTAGCACCCTAAACAGTTCCTTTCGGACCAAAGGCCTCCGGTTGTGGTTCACACCCAGCTGCGAAGTTGCAGCTGGCCAGTCAGTGGTGCTGATTCTTTTTTTCCAAATTTGGGGCAGGGGGGAGGAACACAGAGAGACCCCCTTCCCCCCCCCCTAGATTGCAGGCCCCTCCCCTTTGCAAAGCAACCCCCTCCCCAGAGGCCCAAAGACGCCAGACGAGACGAATGCCAAGGAGACAAGTTTTAACAGCCGGGCAAAAATGAAATTAAAGCAGAAATAACAATTGCACCATTGCAATATTCATTATAATAAATTAACTTATAATGTATGGGATGTTGGGTAGGTTGAACATTCTTTTCCGACTTCCGCGTGGCTTTTTAAAGATCTGCCCCCCAAAGACCCCTTTCCCACTCCCCCACCCCAAACCCCCCAAGGATGCTGCATCTGCTTTGGGGAAGGGAGAAAGCGCCTTTATGGCATTGATCCTCATTTCCCTCCTTCCCCACTCCCTGCCCCCCCCTCCACCCCCCACCGTCAATTGCCTTCTTCCTTCCGGGTTCTCTCCCACTAGAGATGCCACCCCAGCCTGCCTGACTGAGGAGAAAGGGGGCGGGAGGGGGGGTTTCCTTTGAAGCAAGGCAGCCCCCCCCATCACCCCAGATAAACTGCATAAGATTAAAAAAAAGGGGGGGAGCAGGATGCATTCTGGAAGGGGGGAGGCTCCAGGCAAGCATGCATGAAGAAGACCTTGCAAGGGTGATGCGGGGAAGGGGGGGGCGCAGATGCATTTGATAGGTTCCCCTCCCCCCTTTTATGGAGGGGGGGGCTGATCCAGTGTGAAACCCCTTCCCCCTTTGCAACCTGACAGCCCCTCCCCAGGACACCTGGACTCCCCACCACCACCAGGCCCTCCTCACCCTGCCTGCCCCCTCCCACCTATTGGGGAGGGGGGGCGCAAGATACATCTGGAAGACCCTTCCTTTATGGAGGGGGGAGCTGATCTGTCTATGGGGTTTGTACAATGAGTGAGCCCCCCCCCCCTCTTTGCAACCTGAAAGCCCCTCCTCAGGAAATCTGGACCCTCCCCACAGGCCCTCCTCACCCTGCCTGCCCCCTCCCACTCATACGGGGAGGAAGAGTGCAATATACATCTGGTAGACCCTTCCTTTATGGGAGGGGGGCACTGATCTGTCCGCAGGGTCCCTACGATGAGTGAGCCCCCCCTTTGCCACCTGACAGCCCCCTCCCCAGGAAACCTGGACCCTCACTCTGCCTGCCCCCCACCCACCCATGCAAAGGGGGGGGTGCAGATTCGCTTGGTAGATCCCCTCCCCTTTTATGGGGAGGGGGCGCCGATGGGTCTGCAAAGGAGGGGGTTCACAATGAGTGAGCCACCCCCCCCTTTGCAACCTGACAGCCCCCTCCCCAGGACACCTGGACTCCCCCCCACAGGCTCTCCTCACCCTGCCTAACCCCTCCCACCCATTGGGGGGGCACGCAAGATATATCTGGAAGACCCTTCCTTTATAGGGGGGGGGTTGATCTGTCTGCGGGGTCCGGGCGATGAGTGAGCCCCCTCCCTCTTTGCCACCTGACAGCCCCCCCTCCAGGAAACCTGGACCCTCACCCTGCCTGCCCCCCACCCACCCATCCAAAGTGGGGGGGGGTGCAGATGGTAGATCCCCTCCCCTTTTATGGGGAGGGGGCGCTGATGGGTCTGCAAAGGGAGGGGTTCACAATGAGTGAGCCCCTCCCTCTTTGCAACCTGAGACCCTTGCCCCCCCCCAGGAAGATGGGGACCCCCCCAAGCCCCCTCCTCCAACCCCTCCCCCCATTCCCAGCCTTGCCTGGTTCTTGTCGAACTGCTCCCGCTCCGCCTCCAGGCTGTGCCCGACGCGGCGGCTGAGCACGCGGGCCGGGACGTTCTTGATGGTGTTCATGGCCCCCGCGATGCCCTCCAGCCCGCCTGCCTCGCTCCGCCGCTCCGGCTTCCTCTCCCGGCCGCAGCCGCGCCTGCCAGGGAGCCCCGCGGGGGCGTGGCCCGGCCGCGGCCACGCCCACCACCCGAGGGCGCCCACTCGCTAGCCGCCGGGAAACCGCGCCCTCGAGAGGGCAGCCAATCCGCGCCCGCTCGCCTTCTTTCCACCCCACCCCTCCCCCGCTTGGGCCACGCCCCGCCACGCCCCGCGGGACTCAGCCGCGCTTCTCTCTCTCTCTGTGTAGGGTTTCCTGCACTAAGCAGGGGGCTGGACTAGATGACCTCCAAGGTCCCTTCCAACTTTTTTATTGTTATTATTATTATTGTTGTTGTTGTTGTTATTATTATTATTATTATTAATAATAATAATAATTTTTATTAAGTTACACGATAATACAATTCAACAATTTTCGGTTTAGCAGTGTTCATGAATATATACAGATTTTTATACATGGTGTTCCCTGATTTACTTAAATTGTTTTTAATAGCGGCACCCTCCCTTATTCTACCTTTTGCTTCTATCCTCTAAGTTTCCCACACCGTGTAATATTCCGAGTTCTCTTTTTCGTTAACCGCATATGTTAGTTTACTCATCTCTGCCCATTCTAATATTCTAATATAACAACTCTGCTATTCTATTTTTTTCTATTTTCTGTTCTTTTCTACATTCTGTTTTATTTATTTATTTATTTATTTATTGAATTTCTATACCGCCCTACTCCCGAAGGACTCAGGGCGGTGCACAGCCATGAAATAAAACACATAGATATACAAAATTTAAAATCGAATAAATGAATTAAATAAATTTGGCTGAATTAGTTTTGTTCTGTTCTGTTCTTTTCTATATTTTATATTTTTCTATTCTATTCTTTTCTATATTCTGTTTTCTGTTCTGTTCTATTCTATATTTTTCTATTTTTTATTATTTTCTAAATTGTTTTATTCTATGCTATAGTCTATAGTTTTCTATTTTCTATTATTTTCTATATTGTTTTATTCTATTCTATAGTCTATATTTTTCTATTTTCTATTATTTTCTATATTCTGTTTTCTATTCTATTCTATATTCTATATTTTTCTATTTTTTATTATTTTCTATATTGTTTTATTCTATTCTATAGTCTATATTTTTCTATTTTCTATTGTTTTCTATATTCTGTTTTCTATTCTATTCTGTTCTGTTCTGTACAGGGGGGTCCTCGAGTTACGGCCGTAACTGAGTCCGCCCTTTCTGCCGCTGAGTGAGACAAGCGGTTCAGTGACTTTGGATCCCCGTTTCACGACTTTTCATGCCTCTTTTGTTAAGCGAATCGGTGCATTCGTTAGTCACCCGGGTTTGTTAAGTGAATCCGGATTCCCCCCTCCTCCGCCGAGGACTTGGCTTGTGTCAGGACGACGCAAAAGGGGGAATTGCCTAACACACACACACACACACACACACACTGGGACGCGGCAACCATCATAAATGAGAGTCAGTGGCCGAGCGCCTGAATTTTGATCCCGCGACTGGCCGTGGGGGCTGCTGCTGCAACTAGTCCGAAGAGTGAAGAATCGTCTTACAAGTCACTTTTGTTCAGCGCCGTTGTAACTTCGGTCACTGAGTGGTCGTAAGTCGAGGACGACTTGCGACGCAATGCAAAGCTGAGTTGCTTCCCATGTGTGCTGCTTGCCCTGCTGAGCAATCTTCGGCCCTGGCCAGGAGAGATGACTTAGGGTCGGCTTTCCGCTCCTCCAGCTAGTGCAAAAGCCCAAGCTACTACTGGTAGTAGCAGAGCAGAATCTTTAAAAAAAATTGGGGGGGGGGAGCACATGGTACTGTGCGAACCCCACACATTGGGACTCCCTGGACCCACAGTAGAGAAGCCGGTTGTGCCTTAAGACCAGCCATGGTAGACTGCTCCCCTCTGGGGAGGCTCAGATGCAAATGAGAGCTGTGCGGAAATGAATATTTTTGCTTTCTTTCCAGGGATGGAAGAAAAGGTGGAGGGGAGCCTAGAACCAGAATTTGGTGATCCTGGAGGAACAAGGGACCCTGGAGGAATCTTTCCCATCAAGCTGAGCCCCGGTTTTAGGCTTGCAAGATAGGGTGGGCTCCCCTTCGGACCGGTGTTTCTCAAACTTGGGCCCTTTAAGAGGAGCGGACTTCAACTCCCAGAATTCCCCAGCGAGACAGCCACCATTTTGACTTTTTTGACTGCCCCTGCTGAATAAACAGCGGGTGCAAACGCCATTTCTTAAAGACTCCCGCGATCAAGAGAACAGACCTTCCTAAGGGAAATCTTGACTCCCTCACTAAAAGACACTCGAATGAAAACAAACACTTACATTTCACGCCGTAAATAGCTGGCTTACAAAAACACAGCCAACCCCCCCCAAAAATACAATTTCCAATTGTATAAAATTATACACCTAACAGCGAGGAGGCTAGCAATTAATCTGTGCAGAACATTTCTAGAAATAGCTTTTATTCGTTTCCGCATAATTCTAATTTTTTTAAAATATATATATATATATAGTTGGGGGGACGATCGCCAGCACTGAGCTGTGAGTTTTGAGGATTTTTTTTTTTCTCTCCCCCAAATTGAGTGGTGGGTGACAAATCCGAGGAGGATATGTTCTGCCTTCAGGAAGGGGTTTTTCTTTCCTGTTTGTAGACAAAACACGAGACAGCTGGTCTTACAAGAAAAAATAAAAATAAAAACAAAACAATTTTGGGTGAAGCAAAAGGAACCGAAGCACTGCGTTCCCAATGGGTTTTAGGGGTGGGGGGGGTTGCTGGTTTAATTAATGCATTTGGAAAAACACTGCCTGTCATAACCTTGGGGATATTTTTTTTTTTAAAACAATATTTACTTCACGGGCCGAGCTGAAAACCGACTTTGTATCAGGGCTGGAAACTTTCTTTTTCTTTTTTTCTTTTTTTTAAGTTTTCCATGGCTGTGTAAACAGCTGACATTCCTGCAAAATTGCCAATTACGGTATATTTTCTCCTAGGCGGCTTTAAAAAAACAAAAAACAAAATCAGGACTGGCAAGATATGCAAGCTGTGAGATTTACCGGAGCTGCCGAGTGCTCCGTGGGCTCGAGACCTGGGTGCAAAACAGGCGTCTTTTCCTTTTCTGAGACGCCCCACTACCAGGGGTGAGGGGGCACTGTGGTCTGAATTTTCTTCACGTGGACATGAGAACGGTGCAAGTCTGAAAAAAGTCACTTTTTTTAGTGCTGTTCTAACTTCCGACGGTTGCTAAACGAACTGTTGAAGATTCTTTGTATTTTGTTCCACCGAAATTTGCAAATTGTGGGGGCTGATAAACTTTGGAGGTTCTTACTGCACCTGCGTATGGTTTGCCAATGGCACCGTGGTAGATAGGACAGCGCTCCAGAGGGTCAACGTCATTGCCCAGAGGATCACGGGTTGCCCCCTCCCCTCTTTAGAAGAGCTTTTATAGCTCCCGCTGCCTTAAGTTCAAAACTTTCTTAAAGATCCATCTCATCCTGGATCTCACCCCTTTTTTTTGGGGAACTATTACCATCCGGCAGCCGGTACAGGACAATAAAAACAAGGACTAATAGGCTGAAAAACAGCTTCTATCCCAGAGCAGTAACTATATTGGATTCTACTGTATAAGGTAAAGGTTCCCCTCGCACATATGTGCGGGTCGTTCCCGACTCTAGGGGGCGGTGCTCATCTCCGTTTCAAAGCCGAAGAGCCAGCGCTGTCCAAAGACGTCTCCGTGGTCATGTGGCTGGCATGACTCAACGCCAAAGGCGCACGAAACGCTGTTCCCTTCCCACCAAAGGTGGTCCCTATTTTTTTCTACTTGCATTTTTTTACGTGCTTTCGAACTGCTAGGTTGGCAGAAGCTGGGACAAGTCACGGGAGCTCACCCCGTTATGCGGCGCTAGGGATTCGAACTGCTGAACTGCCGACTTTTCAATCAACAAGCTTAGCGTCTTAGCCACTGAGCCATTAATGCAATATCATATATCATAATGCAATAGAGGTTTTCAATTCCATTGTATAGAATGCGAAGGAGGTGTTTGTGTTTTATTTCTATAGCTATAATGTACACGGAAGATGGCATTTAATTTCGTTGTACGTGGTGCAATGACAATCAAGTAAACTAAAACTAAACTTCCAGAATTTCAGCGGCCGAGTTTCTACCGTTTTTCCCAAGATCTCAGCGGTGCAAATGCACGAAAACAGGAGCCGAAAGGGGAAGAAAAGGACTTACTTGAGAAGCAAAAGGAGGAAGTTTCCTTCTAGAATCTTCCTCTACGGGCTCCTTGCGTTCACAAACGGATTTGGGATCGTCCGCTGTCTGTCAAGAACGACCAAAAGCAACATCAAAACCGGTGTCAACCGGGCTGCGACGGCCACCATCTTGCTGGTTTTGACCTCACCCTCCAGACCCCCCCGCGCCCCCCCCCGTTGGAAAGGTGAACCCTACTGTGTGGAGGCTGCCGGTCGGACTGTAGTGAGGGCTGGCGCTGAGCAGGTGGCTGTGCTCCAGGTGGGTGACCATCTGCCGGGTTTCGGCCAACATCTGCTGCAGCTTGTCGTCGGGCGAGCGAGAATCCTAGGAGAAGCCGGACAAAACGGGTCAGGGACCATCCGGGAAAAAATTCAGCCCACACAGAAAGGTTAAGCGAAAGTTGGGTGGCCACTGGCCTCCTCCACAACCAGTCAGTGACAAGACGAGTCACTAGACCAGGATATAAACCGAGGACAAACTCCACTCCCTTCTAGCACTGATGATGTTCTCTATTTGCGTCATGAAACATCTGTAAGAGAACAATCAAGCTCAGGGAGCATCAAGGACACCTTAGTAGTAGTAGTTCTTTCTTCTTCTTCTTCTTCTTCTTCTTCTTCTTCTTCTTCCTTCCTTCCTCCATTCTTCTTCTTCTTCTTCTTCTTCTTCCTTCCTTCCTCCATTCTTCTTCTTCTTCCTTCCTTCCTTCCTTCCTTCCTTCCTTCCTTCCTCCCTTCTTCTTCTTCTTCTTCTTCTTCTTCTTCTCTTCTTCTTCTTCTTCTTCTTCTTCTTCTTCTTCTTCTTCTTCTTCTTCTTCTTCTTCTTCTTCTTCTTCTTCTTCCTCTTCCCCCTCCTCCTCCTCCCCTTCTTCCTTCACTCTGCAAACCCCACTCCCTTCTAATACTGATGATGTTACCTAGTTGGGTCATGAAATATCTCCAAGAAAACCACTAAGCTCAGGGAGCACCATGGACCCCACAGTCCTTTTCCTCTTCCTCCTCCTCCTCCCCTTCTCCTTCCTCCACTCTGCAAACCCCACTCCCTTCTAGCACTGATGATATTACCTAGTCGGGTCATATCAACGTCTGCATAAAAACTACCAAGCTCAGATAGCACTTTGCTGTGTGTTTATGTTTGTGTGGCTGCAAAAAACACCCTAGAATTTGGGAAATCATCGCCAATAATATCGGGGCAGGTTGAGTGGGATCAACAGCCGGAATATTTTGGGCCTGTTCTGTGTTTCGATTGGAGATACTTACGCAGTGGGTGGGAAGCTGGTTACACCCGCTGGGTGCCCGGAGGTCTGAAGGATGGTCTGAGGCGGAGGGCATCTCAGGAGCTTTCGTCTCCTTTGACCTCTGGGTTGATGTGAAACACGGCCCGTCCCAGTCGAAACCGTTCAGACTCCCATCCTGGTCACTGTTAAATCATCATCAAGAGCAATTCCGACGATTAACAATTGGGTAATTTGTTTCCAAAGAAAATGAGATATACGCTGGATCAGGTTGGTGGTTATCCGAATGTCACCTATTCCCTTCCCACCCAAGGTGGTCCCTGTTTTTCTACTTGCATTTTTTTACGTGCTTTCGAACTGCTAGGTTGGCAGAAGCTGGGACAAGGAACGGGAACTCAACCCCATTACACGGCACTAGGGATTCGAACCGCTGAACTGCCGACCTTTTGATCGACAAGTTCAGCGTCTTAGCCACTGAGCCACCGCGTCCCTCCTTTCCACCTTGGATAAAGGCATTTTCATTTTACAGGCTTCCAAAGGAGGGGCCGTTTGACACCTTGCGAGCAAAAAGTCAAGAGACTATTTACAAATTCCCCAGCAAGACCGACAGGCCAGAGCCACATTCCGTGTTACGGCACGTGGCTTTCAAAGTGGCTGGGAGCCGATCGATGCTGGTCAGACCAGCTTTAAGCCGAACTGTTGATCTGTGTGTTTTTCCTCCAAAAAGGACCATTAAATCCCCTCCAGGTATTCACAACCTAACAAACAACACCCGACTTAGAAACATTTGTTTAACGATCGTTCAAAGTTACGACGATGTACGATGAAAAAAAGAGACTTAAATCACCCATCTCCTCCCACTTATGACTGCATGACCGTAACCTTGTTGCTGGTATCCTTACGATTTATATTGACTGTTTCCTAATATGATTTGATTGCTTATTTGTTCCCTATGACTATCATTAAGTGTTGTCCCTTATGATTCTTGACGAATGTATCTTGTCTTTTTATGTACACTGAGAGCATTTGCACCAAGACAAATTCTTTGTGTGTCCAATCACACTTGGCCAATAAAGAATTCCATTCCATTCTAATTCTAATTCTAATTCTAATTCTATTCCATTCTTACTCGTAATTCTTTTCTATTCCTACTCCTACATTCTATTCTATTCTATTCTATTCTATTCTATTCTATTCTATTCTATTCTATTCTATTCTATTCTATTCTATTCTATTCTATTATTTCTATTCTACTCTACTCTACTCTACTCTACTCTACTCTACTCTACTCTACTCTATTCTATTGTATTGTATTCTATTCTTATCCAAAATACAGGTGAACATCAAATACTTAGCCGAAATACAGTACCTTTTCAACTCGGGAGCATCCGGAGGCCTCGGGGACAACTCCCCACCCCATAAGGCACTGCCGTTGTTCTTCACCGGCTTGAGCATTTCGGCCCACTCCCGGTTGGAGCGGTAGAGGCTGGCTTGACGGACGGCGCTGCAGGCTGAGCAGCCCAATTCGCAGGCGGGGTTCCCCGGATGGGGAGGCACACGGGGTTTTTGCCGAGGGGGGATTCTGCCCGGGTCCGCGGGGGCATCTTTGCAATCCCCGCTGGCTTTGTCGAAGAACCTGGGCGCCAAACATCCTGAGGTCGCTGCGCAGAAGTTGGCTTCAAACCAATGTTTGTGTCTCGGTAAAGAGGTCACCGGGCCCAGCTCCGACATCCAAACAGTTTCCTTGGATCTGGACTTCCGGGGATTGTCCAGCCATGCGGCCGAGCGGTCTTCCACCTCCCCGGCGCTCCTGGGACTGCTCAGCATCCCTTCTTCCCGACGGAAGTGTCTGGGATGGCAAAACGACCCTTCGTGTAGGTGCTCTTGCTGCCTGCTCTGGGCTTGGCAGGGGTGGCCGGCCTTTTTCAAAGGACAGTCGGGAAGGTGGACGAAATGGGTTGGGATCTCCTGGACGACTTCGCCGTGGAGGGAGTCTCGGTCGCCGCTGGTCTCGAGATCCGACAAAACCATTCCTGGGCTGAAAACAGGAAGAAGGAGGAGCTTGAGTTATCCATGTTGGACTTAAGGCAGAGGTCTTCAAACTTGGCAGCTTTAAGATTTGTGGACTTCAACTCCCAGAATTCTCCAGCCAGAATGTAGCCCACCCACCCTTTGGCCTCTGGCTCGCAGCAGTTACCTCCTTGCAAGCAAACAGCAAGAAGAAACAGCTCCTTTCAGCTTCAGCACAGCCTAATTAGCACAAGTTGATTTGATCGGCCTCCCGACTCTCAGCTGATTTGCTCTCAGCTGTTTTGCCTAGGGCTCTGTTGCTTGCTGCAAAGAGGTAAATTGCTGGAGCAGATTTTTTTTTTCTTTGTGCTAATCAAGCTATGCTGAAAACGAAAATGAAAGTAAAGCAGGCTGTTTGCTGCAAGGAGGCAAAATTGCTCAGAGGCAGAAGCAGATTTCTTTTTCTTCTTTTCCTCACCAAAAAAGGTGGGTGCGTCTTATACGCCGAAAAATACAGTAATTCCTTCTGCCCACCCCACCCCCCTCCTCAGCAAAGCCGTTTTACCTTCCATCCTGAGACTCTGTCCTGTGTTTCTCTTGGGAACTTTCCAGGTGGAAATGCAGGAACTGGAGATCCTGTTGCTGCTTCAGGTAGATCTAGCAACGGAGGACAAAACAAGCCATCAGCCGTGGGAAGGTGGCAATTTTAACTTCGGAGACATTCGGCCTCCAGACCTCCAAGGATGTGAAAAGGAATTTGCCAAGGATTCTCTTTACATCCTCCAGAAAATGTTTCTGGAAAATTGTAGTAGCTCCTTTTCATTTGATTACTTTTATTCAGTGGTGGCTGCTGCCGGTTCGGGCGAATCGGTAGTTCCAACAATCAGCTGGCCCCGCCCCGCACACCCCGATCCTGTCCTATATTTCCTTCTTTCTGGCTCAGCTGATTTCTCTGCCTCTGCTGTTCTGCTTATCGGGGCTGCCTTAGAAGGTCAGCAGCTGAGCTTCAAATTGCTGTATTTTGAACCCTGCGCGCGTGCGTGTTAGGCGCGGGCACACACAAAGCACACGCTCACAGAACAGGTTTGTTACTGCTTTTATTTTACCTGAAGAGGTTCTTTTACAGGTAGTCCTTGACTTACAACAGGTTGTTGACTCACCGTTCAAAGTTACAGCGGAAAAAAAGGGACTTATGGCCATTTTCACACTGGGCCTTTGCAGTATCCCCGTAGTCACGTGTTCAAAATTCAGACACTTGTGCAACTGGCTCATATTTATGACGGTTGCTGTGTCCCGGGGGTCACGGGATCCCCTTCTGTGATTCTGATGAGCAAAGTTAATGGGGAAGCCAGATTCATTTAACGATGGTGGCAAGAAAAATCGTAAAACGGGACAAAACTCACTTAACAACTGTCTCGCTTAGCAATGGAATTTTGGGCTCAATTATGGTCATTAAGTCAAGGATTATAGCTTATTTTTATTTTATTACTTTACGTGCAAAAGCTTCTTTTACTTAAGGACTTCCTCCTTTTCCTGAACGAAGTGGCTTCAAAACGAAACAATGCCAGAATTCTTTGCCTTTTAATTCCCCCTTTTCTTCCACCCTGCAAAACGGGAAGCGCTCATAGCCAGAAACGGGATCCCCACCTGTCTCAAATTGTTCAGTTCCGTGTCTGTCCGAAGCTGTTTCGATTTGGCGGAAAGAAGCAGCTGAACTTTCCGATTTTCCCTCTCGGCTGCGGGAAAAGAAAGGGGTGGAAGAGTCGGTTATTTTTCCAGAAGCCCCCCCCCCCCAGGGAAACCATAAACTGAGTCCTTCGGGAGTAAGGCGGTATACAAATTGAAATAATAATAATAATAATAATAATAATAATAATAATAATAATAATAATTTTAAAAAAATGTCTCATTGCAATAGTGGCGAATATTTGTAGCTCGGGTGTAGGACAAGGGTTTCGTTACCAGACTACATAACATCTTCAGTGCAGTTTAAGGATGTTAAGGGGCCATTTAAGGGACGCAGTGGCTAAGACGCTGAGCTTGTCGATCGAAAGGTTGGCAGTTCAGCGGTTCAAATCCCTGGGGCTGCGTAACGGGGTGAGCTCCCGTTACGTGTCCCAGCTCCTGCCAACCTAGCAGTTCGAAAGCACATAAAAAAAAATGCAAGTAGAAAAATAGGGACCACCTTTGGTGGGAAGGGAACAGCGTTCCGTGCGCCTTTGGCGTTGAGTCATGCCAGCCACATGACCATGGAGACGTCTTTGGACAGCGCTGGCTCTTTAGCGTTGAAACGGAGATGAGCACTGCCCCCTAGAGTCGGGAACAACTGGCACATATGTGCGAGGGGAACCTTTACCTTTTAAGGGGCCATTTAGAATTCAAGATTCAGCAAACCTTCAGACTTACTCACCGGTAAGCATTAATTCACTACTTAAATAAACATTTTCTTGCTTGAGCTGTATAATTTCTTCCCGCTGGGCACTGTTTTCCTTTATTTTTTCACTGAGATCCCCTTAAAAAAAAAGAAAAAGAAAAGAAACTTCAAAACAATTTTTCACTTCACATTTTCTTAAAACAATCATTTGCCATTCAATCACCTTGGCAGCTTTTAAGACTTGTGGACTTCAAATCCCAGAATTCCCCAGCCGACATGACCGGTTGGGAATTCTGGGAGTTGAAATCCACAAATCTTAAAAGTTGCCAAGACTGGATATTATTCCCTGCTCTAAATATAATTTTACCTTTTAGTCTGTTTGCTTCTGACATCATTTCCTTCATCCTGAGTTTAAAATTCTGCTTCTCCTCGCTGAAACTCCTTTCTTGCGTCTTGCATGCGCACAGGGCACTTTCTAACTTTTTAAATTTGCTGGTAAACTCGGCGATCTGATTGGTTGCTTCAAGGATATCGTCATCCTACCGAAACCAAGAAATAAACGGGGGTTTATTCTCGCTGAAAAGCGAGAAAGTTCTTTGAAAAAGGTGTTCATCAGTGAAGAGCTTAAAAGAGCTTCATTCCCCATGGTGGACTGAGGAATTCTGGGAGTTGAAGTCCACCTATCTTCCGCATGTTGGCTGGGGAATTCTGGGAATTGAAGTCCACATATCTTCAAATTGTTAGAAAGGATAAAATGGATCTACTTTGGGGGGCCCCTTTACCTGCCAATGACGGGCAAAAATTTGCAGCAAAATGTCAAGGACCCAAATATAAATACCTTGAGCCTTAAAAGTGTCAGGAGGTCTTGTTCTCTAGCTTGAAGCTGACCCACTTGGTTCGAGAGGTCCATCACGGAGCCAACCAAGGTTTGGTTTTTCTCCTAAGAAAGAGAAAAAAGAGACAAGAACAGGCCGGAGATCAACTTCTGGCAGGGTCTCTTCTCCCAACTGACATGCCCCATCATAGGAATACAATAAAGGCACTCTGAGCTTTGCAGATGTTTTTCTCTCTGATTTACAGGACCCCCCAAAATAAAACAGACAGCCCAAAGGACAAAGCAACAATTTTATTTTGAAAGAAACTCACATTACAAATTTGAAACACTGCAAAATACAGCAGCAAGCATCACATTAACGGGAGGGCCCTGCAAGAGAAAAGCAGACTCTACCCCCACCCCAAAGATTTAAACGGCCCCCACTTTGCTGGTTTCAAAAGGGATTCAAACTGTACTTTTGGTGAGTGGGACATGGGCTCCCTTCTCTTTTTTCTTTATTTACATCCAGGTTTGTTCTCTCTGCTTTATTATTCACGTTGCATTCTGGATTGAAGTGTTTTTTTTGAACCGTTTGCAAGCCGCCCAGCACCCCTGAGAGTCGGCAGCGTATCGATTGAAAGAATAATAATAATAATAAAAAATTCACGAGGATGATAGTGGCCTACCTCGAGGGTCTGACATTGAAGAGACGTGTCGGAGGCTTTTCGAGACAGCTCCTGCAGCTTCTGCTGAGTGTTTTCGAGCGTCGAACTGCAGTCATTCTGCAGGGACCCCAGGAGCTTTAATCTCTGGGTCAGAGTAGTTATCATTTCATTTCTCTTATGTAGCTCATCTGGGAGGAGAGGGCTGGAATCAAATCTTGTTAACAACGGTAAACCGGCATTTAATTCATCCCCTGCCTCTCTGTTTTAAAATTACAATTCTGGCTGCCCACAAATTATTATTTATTTATCGAATTAATTAATTAATTAATTTTTTTTTCATTTGATTTATATGCCGCCCTTCTCCGAAGACTCAGGGCGGCTTACAATGCGTTAAGCAATAGCCTTCATACTTTTGTATATTTATACAAAGTCAGCTTATTGCCCCCACAAACTGGGTCCTCATTTCACCTACCTTAGAAAGGATGGAAGGCTGAGTCAACCTTGAGCCTGGCGAGATTCGAACCCTGCAGTAATTGCAGGCAGCTGGTCTTAATAAGCTTAATAACAGGGTGCCTTAAACCCCTGTACTACCAAGGCTCTTTCCCGCCCCTGTTGTGGTTCTGGCGAGACTGGCCCGCTTTAAATTAAGCCTGTTCAATTTAGAATAAATATTGGAAATAAATATTTAAACACAGGAAAAAGAAGAGAGAGAGAGAGAGAGAAGATCATTCTTTCAAAGAACACCCGCATCCTGGTTTCGCTGCCCACTTTCAGACGGTTCTACCTGCCATATTTCTTTGCCCTTAAAACTGTACCGTTCGGGAGGAAGGTTTGTGGAAGGGAATCTCAGGGCAAGTTTGCGACTTTCGTTCCAGGTTTTTCACATGCAGATGGTAAGAAAATACAACTGCTCTAATACACGCATGCAACCCCCCCCCGTATTGGAAAAGCATCCAATCACTGATTTAACACACTCTTGGGAAGCTCTGGGGATCAGTATTGTTAGAGAATCTCTTGGAAGGATTCTACGCCTAACGTAACATTCCGGGATTTCCATGGCGCAGAAGGAATCACAAGGGAGTGGCAAGCCAACATTTCTAAGGACCAGACAAGCCAACTGTTGAAATTCCTTCTTTGTTGGCTGTTTAAAATGACAACAAGCAGCTTAGTATACATGTGGGGTATAATGTGGTGTTTTTCCACCCGCCCCCCGCAAAAAATGCACTTGCATTTAATGTCTTCCCTAGTGAATCAAATGCTGTAGAACATTTTTCCTCCATCTGACATTCTAGGTATGTGAGGCTCAGAAACCATGGCATAAAAATGGCCTCTTTTTTTTTTTTTTTTTTAGAAGGCTGGGGTAGAGCATAAACCCAGAACTGTGGCTAAAAAAAAACATCATGTACCTGATGCTGTGAGGAACTATTAGCCTAACTTGTTTGTGCTTTTAATCTCCACGAAATCAGAGACAAACTTTTCACAAACTTGTTAGCCAATGCTGGGATTGTCCACTTGCAAGGCTCTTTAGCCCTCCGAAATGTGCAAACTCCAAACTCACCTTTGCTATAAACACCCCCCCCCCCCCTGCACCCAGGACTATGCAAGGGGAACCATCCGCCTCAGTTTTTACAATCTGTAAAATGGGAATACCAGTGGCATACAGACTGAGTTTACTTGGCTCTAGGCTTTGTGAGAAGGACGCAGTGACTCAGTAGCTAAGACGCTGAGCTTGTCGATCGAAAGGTCGGCAGTTCAGCGGTTCGAATCCCTAGTGCCGCGTAATGGGGTGAGCTCCCGTGACTTGTCCCAGCTTCTGCCAACCTAGCAGTTCGAAAGCAGGTAAAAAATGCAAGTAGAAAAATAGAGACCACCTTTGGTGGGAAGGTAAAAGTGTTCTGTGCGCCTTTGGCATTGAGTCATGCTGGCCACATGACCATGGAGACGTCTTCGGACAGCGCTGGCTCTTCGGCTTTGAAACGGAGATGAGCACTGCCCCCTAGAGTCGGGAACGGAATGACTAGCACATATATGCGAGGGGAACCTTTACTTTTACCTTTAGGCTTTGTGAGACTCACTTTCCAACCTGCTGCTTCGTTCTTCCAGGGTCAGTATTTTCTGACGATCATCCTCCCACGCCAAAAATTGTCTCTGGTGCACAGCCACCATATTGTTCAGCTCCTTATCACGATCTTTCAGCTCTGCAAGTACCAGCTGGAGTTCCTTCTTCAGTTTCTGAACGAGGTCGCTCTCTGATTCGGAGGCGAGGTTCTAACAAGGGAGAAAAAGGGATTTAGGGAAGGAGTAGTACACTAGTAGTATGATAAATTATATCAGACACCCTGATTAATTCCCTAGGTCAGGGGTCAGCAACTTGCGGCTCTGGAGCCACATGTTCTTTCACCCCTCTGCTGCGGCTCCGTCACTCAAAATATCACCCACAGCTGCCAATGTGTGACACTTGCCGGCACGTGATTTATTGAGCTTTTCAACCCCCAGTAGGCCAACCATGGATAAATCCAAGAAAAGAAAAGTTTCAGAAGAAAACAGAACATTGAATTCAACTACAGATGCTAGTTTTGGGACCGCTGAAGATATAGTCAGGCACGGGAACGGTTTTGTGGCTCTCAGTGTTTTCTTTTTGGTGGGAAACAGGTCCAAATGGCTCTTTGAGTGCTTAAGGTTGCAGACCCCTGCGTTAGGTTAACCTGTGCATCATGAAAGGTAACCTGTAACTTCAGTGTAATTTTAATATTTCACATTTTCCTACCTGGAAGGGACTGGAAATACCCAACGCAGAATTCATCAGGTTTCTGAGATCAGACAAGCCAACTTCATTTCAGGTGTAGCCCAGATGTAAAGCAGGGATACCTTGTTATCCAGTTTTTTTTAAATAAATAAATAAATAAACAAACTTTTAAATTTAGGTTGGTTATACTAGTAACACTAATACCAAATAAACGGAAAGAAAAAAAAAAGAGTAAAAAGTGCAAGGGATAAAAAGAGGAAATTCACCCTATAATACACAGTAATACACACAAACGCACACCCAGGCAGGCGAAGCCATCTCTACACACAAACCCCTACATTTGTTGTGTATGATACACATTGATACACACTCAAATCCAGACACTCAACACAAAGAGAGAGATCCACCCTCAGCTGAAAACACACAACTCTACATTTACTTACACGCTACCTAGACACTGATAAGACACAAACACACAAATACACCCAGTGTGAACCCACATTTACACACACTAAAACCCACCACCACCCCGTGGAAAGTCCACACACACACACACACACACCACTACAATACTGGCACCCTGCTACCCGCCCACGCATCCCCCACGCGGGAGAGAGAGCCCGTGTCTACACAAGGGACACGCATACACACACACACACACCGGCCTCTAGACTCGCGTTCCAGGACCCCAACACCGACTCCCAGACCCGCCGGCCCCCCATTCCCGTCCACCGCCTTCCCCCGAGTCTCGTGGATCCCCCGTGGCTGCTCTTCCTCCTCCTCCTCCTTCCGGGGGAGAAGCCAACCTGGCCGGCGCTCACCTGGCCGGCAGCAGAGCGAAGGAGGGGGTGTGTGTGGTGTGGTGGTGGTGGGGGCGGACCGGAGGGAAAACTGCGAGCCTGACGTCCGCGCCGGTTTCCAGCCTTCGGGAGTTTCCCCAGCGCGAGGGCGGTTGGAGGCGCCGCGAAGTTTTTCCCTTCGCGGGATTCTCGCTTGCTTCAATCGCGGGTGTTTTTTTCCCCTCTCGCCCCCGTTCAAAGGAACTCCGTGGGACCCTCCCCCGCGCCCCCTTTGTTAATTAACAATAATCTCCCCGTCCCTTTCTTTTGCCCATCTCCAAAGACAGGAGCTCCTGCAGTTGGAAAAGAGGCTATTTTGGGGGGAAATAGATTTTTAAATATTTTTTTATATTTTAAAATTATTTTATATTTTCTATAAAATAGAAAAAGACTGAATCGATCAGGCACACACACACACACACAGACAAAAAAAATCTGCTTTCTGGATCTCACTTTTTCATCGGTGGCATCACTTTTTCATCGATGTGTTTGTGAAGTCTTTTTTTTTTTAAAAAAATTCTTTTTTGCTGCTGAAAAAATAAATCTTTTTTGGCTCAGAGAGGAAAAGAGGGAGACACAAAAGTTTGCCCCCAAGGGCAAACTTCCAAGTTTCACCCATTTGAAAAAAAGTATTAATGTCCTATTGTATTATGTTTAAACGATGAACAAAGCTTAAGAACTATATGTTTCTATGAGTGCTAATATTATTGTAAAGTGACGGGAGGTTTTTGGAACCAGTGATGTCATATCTATGTCCAATGTTTTTTTTTTTAATTTTGTATTATTAATAAAAAACTTTTTAAAATTAAAAAAAAAGTTTCATCCATTTGCTTTCGAGACCTTCTTTCCACACGTGAAAACCACCAAGCTCAGAGAGCACCAAGGACTTCACAGTTCAACCCTGAGTTATAAATATTCTCCTTTATTGATCATTTTTAAAGACCAGATGGGAGTGTGGCACATCCTAGGGGTTTACGTTCACACATTACGCCAAGCCTTCACATAAATTTATTTGCTTCCAAGGAAGCTGCCAACTTGGGTTGAAAACTTGGGTTAAGAAAATGAAGGACGCACACGGCAAAGAACAGTAACGTCTTTATTAAGATTAACTCTCTACTTCCAGCCAAAGCATGATACTCTCACTTCCCCGCAAGTTTAAACTTTGGCAAAGAAAGATTACAGACAAAAAAATAAAAAGCAGCAAATAGACCACAGTAAAAATGCCACCGGGGGAACATGCCTCTTCAACAGGTCTGTCAGGGAAGTCCCACTTGGGATTATCTTGGCTGGACTTGGGTGTTTGTCCAAAAAAAAGGCAGGAAACTTGTGGCTTTTCCAAAGGACTCTCACTTTTTTACTTCTCCTAGATCTTCAATGCTGTCATCGTCCACCTGCAGCACAGAGGTTCAAATGCATTTATTACACGAGAAAGGATCACATGGAAACGAATTGAGTATCTTGACTTTGAAAGATTATTGGAGGGGGGGAAGAGATTTATTTATTTATTTATTATATTTCTATACCGCCTTTCTCCTGTAGGACTCAAGGTGGTATACAGTCAAGAAAAATATAGACACACAAACATCATAAAACTGCTCCTCTCCCCACCCCCTGATCTTTTATAATGGGATACTTCTAGAGAATGCATGAAAAAAAATCTATTGATACGGTTGCTTAATGGAATGTAATTGATCCATTTCAGCGAAGAGTCAACCGTCGCAGCAAATTAACATCACACAGAGTCGGTTTCTAATTCCCCGCCATGATATCATGGATATTATTTTCATCTTTACAGCTCCACTGCAAAGTCTTAAATGCAAGGGAAAAATCCACTCCCGACAACTTTAATTTAAAAAAAAGCTCTTTTTAACAGAAAAGCCAGTCAGATGAGGTTCCGGCATATTACCTCCGGCCATTTTTCCTGAATCACTTCGATGATGTCATCTGTGAAATCTCCCTGAATAATTATTTCGTCTTCCCCAGTGACTGAGGCACCACAGGAAAACTTCTGAGCAAAGAACCTTTGGGCCTCCTTAAGATCTATTTCTGTTTGGAGGAGAGAAAAAGAAATGAGAGATCAAGACACAGATACTCACGTTATTAGTTTCTAAGCCAGTTTTTCAAAATTGGCAATGTTAATGCCATCACTCTGCTTAACAACCAATTCCCACAACACTGTCAAATAGTTTACTAAGGCTGTATTACTATTATTTCTCTCTTCCTTACTAGTATCTATCTCTTCCCACTTATGACTATAACCATGTTGCTTGTATCTTTCAATTTATATTGTTTTTGTTTCCTAGTGCAATTTGATAGCTTATTAGTAACCTTGACTATCACTAAGTGTTGTATCTTTTTATTCTTGATGAATGTATTTTATTTTTCTTTATGTACACTGAAAGCATATACACCAAAGACAAATTCCTTGTGTGTCCAATCACATTTGGCCAATAAAGAATTCTATTCTATTCTATTCTATTCTATTCTATTCTATTCTATTCTATTCTATTCTATTCTATTCTAATGGATGGACTTCAACTCCCAGAATTCCCCAGACACCTATCCTATGCTGGCTGGGGAATTCTGGGAGTTGAAGTCCATTTGTCTTAACATTGCTAATTTTGAAAAACTGTGTTCTAAACCCCCAACTTTTGTCTTTACACAGCGACAAGATTGAGCCATCCCGGAATCCCAGGAAGATGTGGAACAACCGAGTCAGATTATAGAAGAAAAACTCCCTATTCTGACTTTTGAGACCAAAATTGTAGGCCCGGAGTTCAAAGGGGACTTTTGCGTCATTTAGAATATTAGATTCGCAGCTTCGGAAAACGGATCCTATCTCATTCTCCTTGGTAGCTTGCGAGATGCTTCAGAGATTTTTTTTTTTTCTTCATATTAGTTGATCTCCGCCAATTTGAGCCCAGAGACCTCTGCCAAAACGTGTTTTTGCTTCACTCACCAAAAGTCGCAAGACCGCATACTCGTGTGACGTATTTTTTCTTCGCTCGGGGGATTTTTGCTATCGTCACTTTCTGAGGCACCGTTTTCTTCTTCTGTTTTATCTGACCTCTTCCACCTGGGAGGCAGGGAGAAAAGGAAAGGGGATAAATACCCTTTCAGAATCTAGTTTGAAGGATCTACTGGCTTTCTGGCTCTCTCGCTGTCTAGAAAGTCACCTCAAACCACCTTGAGCAGGGGTTGGACTAGAGGATCTCTGATGAGCCCCATGATTCTATATTCTCACCACCCCAGCAACAGCTGAGCTTGCCTTGCCCAGCCTGGGGTGCTCCTGATGTGTCTGGAGTTCTAATCCTGGACGATACAGTGCCAGGAGATTAAAAAAATAATGGAGTTGTGCTTTAATATGGTCTTAAGAAAAAAAAAAAAAGCTGTATTCATTGCCTCTCTTCTGTTTTTTCTTTTCTTCCTCTTCACCGATCATTCCTTGGCCTTCTCCGATGCCAGATTCTTGTTTAGGGCAGTTTTCTGGAATTCAAATGTACAGAGTTATTACGGATATCGAAATCTTGCAAAAAAAGAAAAGAAAGTGGTTATATATTTCTTCATAGGGCTTTCTTTATGAGGCTCCCTTACAATGATCCTATTGAGAGTTATTTTCATTTAGCATATTAAGCTGATCTATTGGTATTTTTTTTTTTCCTTCACAAAATGCAACTTCCCTTTTGCAACCCAGAAAATCCCACTGGATTTAATGCAATAGGTTTCCCAAACAAACGAGGATGAGATTAAGGAAGAAATTCCATGCTCCAAAGATCACAAAGTGTATTTACCTACAGTAAGCTTCGCAAATTCATTTGGGAAATTCTTCTCTAGCCACTGCCTGCATTTTGCCATATCAGGCATGTATTCGCAATACTGGAGGGGGAAAAAAAACAGAGTAAAATTATTTGTTGAGAATGGCCAAATGTATACAGCATAACACAAATCTTTAGGACTTGTACGCAAGAGCAGAGAAATCATTTTGGAGAGATGCAGCTTTCCACGCAGGGAAAGGAGAATCTGTTCAAATGATCCTTTTCTATAATAAAAGCTATTTTAGCCCTCTTCAGAGAGATCAATGCAACTGTGAATAGGCTGAGCTGGCATAATTCTAACCAATGTGTTACTCTACGGATTTCCAGTTAAATCATTATACATATTTTTAAAAGCTCTCTAGCGTTTTCGTCGACTGCACAAACCAAGCAAAAACTAAAATGAAAGCAACTCACCTCTGTTGGCAAGGAACAGACTGGGGAAGAAAACGGGAAAAAGTTTTAAAGCAATGATAATATTTTCCCGTATAATCCAGTTTAAACATCTTATTTAAGATGGGCATTTCCACAAGGTCTCTCAAAATACGCTCATTCTACAACATCCATTAGCCCCAGCCATCATGGCTGGAAAACAAGATGCTAGAAGCTGTAATCAGATAATACCAGAAAACCCACAAGCCTTTTATCCCACGTTTAAGACCGGTCTTTCTAATGAGTGCGTTGATTCCTATTGTGAATTGCATTTTCTTAGTTACAAGAAAATTCCTATTGTGAATTGTATTCTCTTAGTTGTAGAACATCATTTTGCAGAATACGCTAACTTATATTGTATTAATTCCTCTCTCTTTGTTGCAAATGCCCATTTCCACTTTTAAAAACACAGACTGTATTAAAAGTGTTTCTCAACCTCGGCAACTTTAAAGATATGTGGACTTCCAACTCCCAGAATTCCCGAGCTAGCTAAATACGTTGAAGTTGAGAAACACAAGCTCTAGATTAAAGTGTTTTCAGCTATCCAAAGCTGGAGAATATGCAAGTAACCTTAACTAGGGTAAGTGGGAAGAAACCCACTGATGGCTTAGGAAGCAGCCTTTTCCACTCCTACCTCCGCAGTAGAGCACCCGAAGGGGTAATCAATATCTGGTCTGGCGTTACATCTTTGGTCTCCCCGGCAGTCCAGGACCACCGGCTCCACTGCCGTCTCCATTGCCTTCTCACCAGTCCAGAAAACCAGAGACCTTTCGTTCAAAGGCCAAACCTAGGAAACAGAGAGGGAGTGGTGGTTGACCTCCAAAGATCAGGCAGAAAACTTAAAAGGGGCAAAAGTTGGTTTGAAGCTCAACATTAAGAAAACTAAGATTGTGGCATCTGGCCCTCTCAATTCCTGGCAAATAGATGGGGAAGAAATGGAGGTTAGTGACAGATTTTATTTTCTTGGGCTTCAAGATCACCGCAGATGGGACTGCAGCCAAGAAATTAAAAGACGCTTGCTCCTGGGGAGGAAAGCTATGGCAAATCTAGATAGCGTACTAAAAAGCAGAGACATCACCCTGCCAACAAAAGTGCGTATAGTCCAGGCGATGGTTTTCCCAGTTGCAATGGATGGCTGTGAAAGTTGGACCATAAGGAAGGCTGAGAAGGCCAAAGAATGGAGGCCTTTGAACTCTGGTGCTGGAGAAGACTCCTGTGAGTCCCTTGGACTGCAAGGCGATCCAACCGGTTGGTCCTAGAGGAGATCAACCCTGACTGCTCTTTAGAAGGCCAGATCCTGAAGAGGAAACTCAAATCCTTTGGCCACCTAATGAGAAGGAAGGACTCCCTGGAGAAGAGCCGAATGCTGGGAACGATGGAGGGCAAAAGAAGAAGAAGGGGACGGCAGAGAAGGAGGTGGCTGGATGGAGTCACTGAAGCAGTCGGCGTGAGCTTCAATGGACTCCAGAGGATGGTAGAGGACAGGAAGGCCTGGAGGAACAGAGGGAGGGAGTCAAGCTATTCTCCAAAGCACCTGAGGGCAGGACAAGAAGCAATGGATGGAAACTAATCAAGGAGAGAAGCAATTTAGAACTAAGGAGAAATTTCCTGACAATTAATCAACGGAACTACTTGCCTCCAGAAGTTGTGAAAGCTCCAACACTGGAGGTTTTTAAGAAGACGTTGGACAACCATTTGTCTGAAGTGGTTGTAGGGTTTCCTGCCTAAGCAGGGGGTTGGACTAGAAGACCTCCAAGGTCCCTTCCAACTCTCCTATTCTATTTCTATTTCTAAACGTTGTCCATGGGGTCGCGATGGGTCGGGCACGACTTCGCAACTAACAACAAGAAATGATGAATGAAGGCTTGTGGATGGGAGACCCCCCAAAACCCCCCCAAAAGTTGAACCCCAATCTATAAAAGTGGGGAGGGGGCTCTTGCAGCACTGCCAGGGCTGGGCTCTTCCAAGGAGGAGCCCTGAGGCCAAGGGGGGAAGGGCAAGAGCTGGGAAAGGTGCCCCCCCCCAAGGGTGGCCCAGCCAGATCCCCCCCCAAGGACCCTCCCCAAAATGATGGAAACCTAAAAAAGCCCCCCAAGAAAGAGAACATGGGACCCCTTGAGTGGCTGGGGGGGGGGCAAGGGATTCCGGAGCCAAGAATGATGGGGTGCCCCCAACCCAAGGAAAGCCCCCTTACCTGCACAGCCCCCCCCCCACGACCCACCAGGTGAGTCGCTTCTCCGACCGTCTAGCAGCAGCAGCAGCAACAGCAGGCAAGCAGACGGGGTGGGAGATCTCGCGAGAGCGCCGCAGTTCCCGCGAGAGTGAGAGAGAGAGAGAGGCACCCACCGCCCGAGGAAGAGGAGGAGCAGCCGCAGTGCCGGACCAGAGGGAAAACTTCAGCTGCTCTTCCTCGCTTTTTTTTTTTCTCTCTCCTCTTCCTCGCTGTGCTTGGCGGAAGTGAGCCGCCAACCATAGAGCGGCGGGAAGGAGAGGGAGAAGCTTACGGGTCGTTCTTTGGGCCAAGCGGCTTCACAAATCGTTTTGTTTTTGGGTTTTTTTTTTTTTCCCTACCCCTTTTGCTGGGGAAGAGCCATGCCTCGCTATGCCCAGCTGGTGATGGGGCCTGCGGGGAGCGGGAAGGTGAGTTCTCCCCCCCTTTTCCAGCTTTGGCTAAGGGGGCTACAAGCTCTCTTGGGTGGGGAGAAGCTTCTAGGACAGGGGTCCCCCCCAAACTTGGCAGCTTTAAGACTTGTGGACTTCAACTCCCAGAATTCTCCAGCCAGCACAGCTGGCTGGAGAATTCTGGGAGTTGAAGTCCACAAGTCTTAAAGCTGCCAAGTTTGGGGGGGACCCCTGTCCTTTGTTTTTCCAAGCTTGGCAACTTAAATATGAATGGACTTCAACAACATGCTGGCTGAGGAATTCTGGGAAATGAAGTTCCAGCCACCTATCTAGTGGCGGGTAGTTCCCCTGTCTCCAGATCCACCTTTTTCTCCTTCCCCTCCCCCCCCATCCAACACCTTGTGCCTTGATTTCCTTCCTTTGTGGGCAGGGCTCTCCAGGTGAGTAGCACACCCTGAGACCCTGGGAAGTGGGTGGCAGCCGTGGTGAAATCCAATTTTTTTTTTTTTTTACTCACCGTGTTCGGTGGACGTGGCTTGGTGGGCGTGGCAGGGGAAGGATGCTGCAAAATCTCCATTCCCTCCCCACTCCTGGGGGAAGGATACTGCAAAATCCCCAATCCCACCCCACACCAGGGGAAGGATATTGCAAAATCCCCATTCCCACCTCACACCAGGGGAAGGATATTGCAAAATCCCCATTCTCACCCCACTCCTGGGGGAAGGATATTGCAAAATTCCCATTCCCCCCACACCAGGGAAGGATATTGCAAAATCTCCATCTCTCATTCCCACCCCACTCCGGGGAAAGGACATTGCAAAATCCCCATTCCCTCTCCACTCCTGGGGGAAGGATATTGCAAAATCTCCATTCCCTCCCTACTCTGGGGCCAGCCAGAGGTGGTATTTGTCGGTTCTCCGAACTACTTAAAATTTCCGCTACCGGTTCGTCAGAAACCTGCTGGATTTCACCCCTGGGTTGCAGCCCCTCCGCTAACGGAGCTTCTCCTCTTTCCAGAGCACCTACTGCTCCATCATGGTCCAGCACTGTGAGACCCTCAACCGTTCCGTGCAGGTGGTGAACCTCGATCCGGCAGCGGAACACTTCGACTACGATGTCATGGCAGGTGAGGATCATGTCCCCCCTTCTAAAACCAGAGATGATGGATGGGTGATTCCCCCTTTTTTTAAAAAAAAAAACACAAAACTTTATTAAACATATAAAAAGTAAAATGTTGTACATATATATATATACAAGATACATATATAAATACAAACGACAATCCATAAAAAGAAAAAGTGACTTTGGTTTCACATCCACTATCTTATTAACGGTGCATATATGTTAATTATTATTATACAGAATTTTACATTTACTCTCATTTCTACGAATTATCCAATTACCTATTCCACCTATTCACATATAACCTTTTGAGTCTACCTTATCCTTCATTTAAAATGTTAGTTTGTCCATTTCTGCACAATTATAGATCTTTTGGAAATATTAGAAAAGTGATCAACTGCCAACAGACCAATTGATAATCTAAAAGATTCCATTCCCCGCACAATAATAAGACCTCCTCAAAAATAAGGCCAAGCACTTATTTCGAGGTTCAAAAAAATATAAGACAGGGTCTTATTTTGGGGAAACACAGTATATATGTTAATTTGTTTTTACCTTTGTTTCATGGCAAGTGGAATTCCAGGACGATTGCACTGTATCCATTATTATTTTTATATGTAAACACTAAAAATATATTATATAAAAAAAGAATTTATCCATTTGGATTCTTTTGAATCCAAAGGAATTCCGGCAATTCCCCTGAGATGAGCCGGATGTGGTGACATCTCTTGGTCTTGTGCTGGTAAATATAGAGTTGGTTCCTTCTCTCCCCTTTTGCCTTATAGATATCCGAGAGTTGATTGAGGTGGACGATGTCATGGAAGATGATTCCCTTCGGTTTCGGGCAATGGCGGCTTAGTTTTTGCATGGAATATTTTGCAAACAATTTTGATTGGCTGGAAGAATGCCTTGGTCATGTGGAAGACGATTACATCCTGTTTGATTGCCCAGGTAAGCCGAGGAAAGGGGTAGGTATAATTTTTTCGGGATTCTTGGAGGAAAGATGAGGATCTTCGGTGCTTATTTTGTTTGGGTTTAAGTTTAAAAATGGGCTTTCATTCATCCCTGATAGGGGAGCTGGGCGGACAGCACAAAACTTTAATAAGTAAATAAGTTTGATGAAATGTATTAAATTTTATTTAATAAATAGAACTTCCAAGCTGTGGAAATTCAGTGGTTAGAAACCTTTCCGGCACTTTGTGGCCTTGAAATCGTAGCGTGGAAGAAATCCGTAAACTTTAGTATGATTTAACAAAAAAGCACAGAGAGGGAAGATTTATCTCATTTTATGATAGTCAAAAGAGTT